AGTATGGGAGCCTTTTATTTCTTTTTCTTTTGTGACTAGGGCATGCCACATCTTACGCAGATTACATATAATGCTTCCGATTCAAATACTCTCACATTGGATTGTAATATTTGAAATGGATAACCAAATAATATTACTTTATATTGGATTTTAATTCAATAGCGCAAATTGCCAAAGACTTAAACTTCAAACTTTATAATACACCCTCATGTAGTAAAATTAATTATAAGTCAAAATTCTTCATGATTCCTTCGTTGTTATATTTATGATTGTGTTAATCCTCAAACTTTGGTATATACGTTCCGCAGAAAATAAATAAATAAATAAAAGACCGAGCTTATAGAATGGTCATTATCTTCTTGCAGCCTTATTTATGATGCAGTGCAAATTATCTTTTTAACTTCATACAACTAGATATCTTATAAGGTTTAGGAAGTACCTGGCAGGTGTCTTTATGTACGGCACATCTGATATGTGTATTTATCTCTATTGAGTGTCCATTCAAAATAGTGACCTCAGCCTTGCAACCTTGCATACGAGGCAATGTCTCTGGATAAGTGGGGAACTTAGATTTCGTTAGGCATCTGAGTGGAAACCTTGTAGTTTCTTTCTACATGATTTTCATTCGTGTCCTCAGGTCTTGGAATTTTGACTTGACTGTGCACATGAGTTGGAGCATATGCATGATTTTATTAAGATTAGGGCCTTGCAGCATGCGTTGCCTATGCTACTATATTAAATACTTAGTGAGGGTAGGAAAAGTTAGAAGGACATGAGAAAATTGTCTTTCATCTCACGCAGATTTTTCTCTTATCTTTTTCTTTTCTTTCTTTTTCCTTATTTCTAGAACTTTTTGCAGCATATCAAGAGCTTACTAATTCAATATCTATAACATTGTATATTATAAAAAAATTATAAATATGGAATGACAAAGTTCATTTCCATGTAAATAAATACAATAAAAACAACAGTTAAAATTTCAACGTAATCCAATACAAACATGTCATAACCAATTTCAAATGAGCTAAGATAAAATATCGCATACTAAATAAACAAATATCTTAAAAAGGTCTTAGAGAGTAGCTATGATACTTTAGGGTTTTGAAATGACTCTTTTTTATATAAAAATTAGAATAATTAAATTTCAATGTCAGTTGCACGTGCATTCGCATGTGCAGTAATGCTAGTTATTACCTAATGAACACGATGCTTCCAATAAGAAATCCTTTAATGATACCTTATTTTTAATTATATCTTCTTTTTGCCCCCACAAATATCACATTTTTGGAAGAAAGAGGTAGTCATCTTCGAAGTGTAAGATGCACACTGATACATGTTCTTAATTTTGGAAACGTGCAGGGATTTCTGTAGTGTTTTGCATGCGCATCGTCTCTGGAGAGCCCTTCAGTGCCCATCAGCTGTCACCTATGCTACCAGCTCAAGCAGAAATGGTTTTTTTTTTCCGCATCTAAAACAGGGTAATGTTGATGCCATCAACCAAAGCAGCAAGTGGGCGTTATTGTAATATACTTTCTATGGTGTTATCCCATGGTTCATTCAATGAGAAATTTCTGGTTTGCGCCATCTACTTTCTATGTATTTACTCATTTTCTACTGAAAAATGATGTTCCTGTCAGGATGTCTGATTATCCGAGTTCCATATATGCGAAGAGCATTTTTAACGACGCGAGTCTCTATATGAGAACAGCACTTTTATTTTTGGACCCTCATCTTGTGGGACGAAGTATGAGACTAGCCACGCGATCAGTTTCTAACGAAGGAACACTTCTCTTGTTTGATAATTGGTGCCGTTATTTTGTGTCGAAAAGTAATATCTCTTGTTTGAGAATTCTTGGATGAGGGCGGGGCAGGGTATTCGAAAATAACGGTGTTGGTTCAAGGATGCTCTTTCTTTCTTTTTAGGCCCCTCACATATGCAACGTACCGGATCAACCTGAAAGATTTCCTCCCATGTATCGGCGTCGTAATTACTTTGTTGAAAACTCTATTCCCCTGTAATTGTAAAATCATGCACATTCTTTGCTGAATACAACGTTTTAACCTCTTTAACTTTTCCTTTTTACGCACAATTTGAAAGAGAGGAATCACAAGTAGAAAAGCACATTACACAGGCACAACGTTTCAAAAGTATTCATGCCACAAGAGAACGAAAAGCTTCGGCTTCATTAGATTTTAGACATCTGGAACAATCATTTTCTGAAGTAGTAACTGCCCCCCTCCTACTCTTTACAACACATGCAAAGCCTTGGTCTCCCTTAAGCCAGGCCACCAATCTACTTTACCCTCAATCACACGTAAAACCAACACATGAACATCACTAGACTCGTACACTTAACTATATTCAAGGCCTTAGCGGGTGCAAACAAGTACAGCTACCTCAGCAATTGGTCCGGCCGAAACCCCTCTCTTTCGTGATGCACGACGACGACGACGAGCTCGTTTTCGTAAATAAAACGCCTAGCTAGCTATTTCTTGTCAGCTCGTTTTGCTAAACTAAAAGAGATGACAATCCATATACAGCATCGGCGCCCTGGCTTAAAACTGCCCGCCTTCAAACGTCTGGCCGAACTGCCATCCAGCGGGGACGGCACCGTTGCTGACGACGGTGCGTCCGTCACTGGCGGTCACGCGGAAGGAGAGGCTCTGGCCGGTGAGGTACGCGTTGCTCTGCCAGTTCTGGCCCCAGTTCCGGGACATCGGCTGCCACCCGGTTTTCGACCCCTTGATCGAGACGGAGTGCACGTCTCCGGCGCCGCCCACGTTGCTGATGAGCACGAGGTTGAAGTAGTTGTGGCCGTTGATTGTGAACCTGATCCCTCCCTTCTTATGACAGGGTACCCTACATTATCCAAGTCCAAAACCAGTCGATCAGCCGCAGTTGTTATTCGATTTGGATCCATAATTATTATTGGTGACATTTATGACCATTTTCTGTCAGAGAAGTCTCAGATATGTAACTTTTGTCTGTCTTCTCAAAATCATTAAAAAAAAAAGGAAACTCCGAAACATGAAATATATATGAAGTTTTGCCTTCCCCCCCTTGGACGGGTTTGTCCGTCAGAAAACAATTTTCTCTCTCTCTCTCTACGAAGTAAAAGAGTCGAAAAGTTTTTACTCGGTCGGTCTATCTGCAAAAATAAAACTAGAGGGATAGTAACATATATATGTATATTTACCTGCGGAAGGCGACGGGGACGATCCCGGCGCGGTACTGGGCGATCTGAAGAAACGCGGGCTCCG